TCACCCGTGTTCTTGCCAACCGTAGTAACAATCGCTGCGAAGACGATAAGCAGCATTTGGAACGAGTACGAGGCAATTAGTACCCAGCGCTTTGCAGGGGAGAAGTAGCGATGGAAGCGGGCAAAGCAAAAGGAACCAGCGCAGAATGCGGCGATTGAGATGCCGGCTTTGATCCAGCGGATGCCCTCAGAGGGAGCGACGATGCCTAGGCCTAGGTAGACGGTGTTTCCTAATTCACCTTGCATGAGTAATTGTTGTGTCGTGTTTCAAGAGACGAATGGAAAAGGATTTGTAGTAGATAGGAATTAGAAGGTGTAAAAAGTCATGTAACATGCTCGATCATGTCTCAATAGACGAATGGAATGAGTCGTGGTAGGTAGGTAGATAGATAGATAGATAGGTAGATAGATAGATAGATAGATAGATAGATAGATAGATAGATAGATAGATAGATAGTAGAAAGTGTAAAAAAGTCATGGAAAAACCCACCTGTTTGCATGCTCACAAACGAGCCCCAGATGAAGACAGCCGAGCTATCCAGCAGGCCTGTAATCATGTAACACAGGATCAAGACTACATCGGCCCAGTTTCTGTTGACGTTGGTCTGCATGTAGCGCCTCATGCGGTGCAGCGTGGCGTGTGCATCCGACTTTCCGCCGTCGGCGCCATTTCGGCCGAGAAGAGGCGTTTCCTCGTCTGCAAGGCTGCGCGTGACAGTGCTGGGGGTGGCGGTGCTCATGTTTTGGGCGCTTCCTTGCGCGTTGGAGGTTTCCGAATATAGAGAGGGATATAGAGAGCGAAGGGAGGGGGAGAATCGAGAACAAGGGAAAGAAGGCCGTCTGTCGGATCTGGGGGGTGATCCTTGAAAGACAAGGCGCGGAAGAAACGGCACTGGTTGGCAGCTTTATGTTGTCTTGGAAGAGCAAGATTTCCAGGTTTTTGTCTCTTGCCTTGTTTGAATCTTGAACGTTATCGGAAGTAACGGGAAGCCGGCTGGCGGTTATGCAGATCGTTTTTCAGGAACCTAGACTCAAGCTTCGGTCAAGGTTATCCAAGCTTCTGCTGCGCGGAGTTGTCGGCAATTGCAGGATAGCGCAGGAGGTTTGGCCGACTGGTGTAATGTGAGTAGCAACCTTCCTGTTACGAAGCGAGGGCGTGTTTTACATGTACAAGCAATAGCGATGTGCGTGCGGGGAAATGCTTGAAAGACGGGTCGAGAGTTGTGGAAAAATCGTGGATTGGCGTGTGCGCATTGATGCATGGTGATGAGTGATGTTTAGCTCAAGGTATTCATGGCGTCATCGGAAGTACGGCATTGGCCGACGCGTACTGCCAACCGCCGAACATGAAAAGGACGCGTTTTCCGGTTGAAAAGAGAAAAAAAAATCTGTGTGCCATTCTCCTCAGAATTGGCTCTCAATTCATTCTCTCCAAGCCATTATGCATCTTTCGTCATTGCTGGTTGCGCTCAGCTGCTATGGCGGTGCTCTTGCGGCTCCATTGGAGCAACAAGTACCATTGCCTGGCAACACAGGACACCATGCTGGGCCTCACAAGATAACCAACCCGTATAGGCCGGGTGTGAGTGATCCTTATGACAGGAAGGTCGATTCTCAGGGCGACAAGCTTCAGCCGCTGCCATACGTGAGTTTACATTTGACATGTATCCATGAAGACCACTAACCACTATAACAGCGAAATGACGACGGAGCAAGCGTCATGGGCCCTCGCAACCGCGCCCGTGAACGTCAGAACCCAGATCTCGTCCGTCCTCCTAGCACTGACCATGGCGCGATCCCCAACATGCGCTGGTCCTTTGCCGACTCCCATATCCGCATTGAGGAGGGTGGTTGGACGCGAGAGACCACTGTTCGCGAGCTGGGTACCAGCAAGGAGCTCGCCGGTGTCAACATGCGTCTTGAAGAAGGCGTCATCCGCGAGCTCCACTGGCACAAGGAAGCCGAATGGGCCTACGTGCTCGAAGGCAAAGTCCGCATCACTGCTCTTGACACTGAAGGCGGTAGCTTCGTCGATGATCTCGAGAAGGGCGACCTATGGTACTTCCCATCCGGCCACCCTCACTCTCTCCAAGGTCTCAGCCCCAACGGCACCGAGTTCCTCCTCGTCTTCGACGACGGCAACTTTTCTGAAGATTCCACCTTCTTGCTCACAGACTGGATGCGCCTAACCCCCAAGTCCGTCCTGGGCGAGAACTTCCGCGTCGCCCCCGAAGTTTTCAAGGCCATTCCTGACAAGGAGAAATACATCTTCAAGGGCTCCGAGCCCGGCCCCATCGACAAGGAGGTCCCCAGCGACAGCAAGGGTTACAAGAAATCCAAGCTCCAGTTCACCCACAAGATGCTTGCTCAGGAGCCCGTCAACACGACTGGCGGCCAAGTTCGCATCACGGACTCCACAAACTTCCCCATTTCCAAGACAGTGGCTGCAGCCCACCTGCGAATCCAACCTGGAGCGATCCGCGAAATGCACTGGCATCGTAAGTCATATAACCCCCATTTCCCTCCTTTTGTGTAAAAAAAAGACAGGCTAACATATCCTCCCACAGCCAACGCAGACGAATGGTCCTTCTTCATCGCTGGCCGCGCGCGCGTCACCATCTTCGCCGCCAAAGGCACCGCGCGCACCTTTGACTTCCAAGCCGGCGACGTAGGTGTCATCCCACGCAACATGGGCCACTTCATCGAGAACCTATCCGACGAGGAAGACGTCGAGGTGCTCGAAATCTTCCGTGCCGACAAGTTCCAGGACTTTAGCTTGTTCCAGTGGCTCGGCGAGACGCCGCAGAGACTGGTTAAAGAGCATCTTTTCGAGAGTAGTCCCAAGGAGGCCGAGGAGTTTGAGAGGGCGATTAAGGATGCCGAGAGGGATCCGATTAAGGATGTTGATCTTGGTGAGGACGAGGATAAGGAGGAGTTGTGAGGTAGGGGGGGTGGGGGGTTGATGGTTGTGGGATTAGCTTGCACATGCTTTAGGTGTTTGAGCGAGACATGGTTGACCTTGCTGAGAGATTGATGTTTGAGGGTAGGCGCAGGATACAACTTTACATATTGTTATTCATTTTCTGGGTGGGGTTTCGTAATGTTATACAATTCCAATCTCATTTTACCCGAAGCGATTTTTTTTTGCTTACATTCGCAACTACCTTTGAATAAACGTGTACACAGCTTACAACCAGGTGAGCGATAATGCACGTGGAGTTGGATTGGGAAGTCAAGCTCCAACAAAAGTATTTTGACGATGTGGATTACACTAATCCCACCTGGGTATAGCCATTCCCCGTAACCATTGCTCAGGTGAGCAATCTAGTCTACATGGTCCTATCTCGTGGAGAGACTCCTTAGCCTCCAGCTGTCGACATCTCACGCGGGAAGCTATTCATAGGACCGAGATGCCGGGCGATCAAAAGATGCTTCTTGGCAACGGGGTAAAAGAGGGTTCATTCAATACGATGGAACACGATCCAATACGATTGCTTGTCACCTGCCCTTGTCATCCCTGGTACACCAACGGTCGATATGGGCATGGTCGCGAGAGCTTACATTAGTCATTTGGTGACGCGCACTGGAGCATATCACGAGGTGGATGAGCTTTGTTCTACTAGCTCCACAGTTCAGGAATTGCATCTCTTCCGAGCCACCGGAAGTATTCATGGCAATTGTGGCTGCCCAGGCATTTTGGGTTTCTGTGGCGGAGTAGCGCACCATAAGATGTAATCTATTATATCCTCCCGCAAGAAAGTTTCTACCCCCTGAACGAAATAAGATACACCCAGATAAGCAGTCGAGCGTCCATGACGACGCAAGGTCCGCGACGCAAGGTTAACTATTTTCGTGTGCAGGACCTCCGTACTATGGGAGTGCATTGTTTAGTTCTTTGTGTAGCGTTGTGCTGCGGCTCATCACGCTGTCAAAAAGCATGTTTCGAAACATGTACCCATATGCCCATTATGTATGTACGCGTGTGCGCCTATCCACAGCACGCAAGCCTCCAACACTGGTTGTGTGTGATGAGTCTCACAGCCTCAAGAGAGGCGCCATTTTCGGAGTGGCCCATCTCAGCACAGGAGTAGGGCCGCGCTGACAGGGAACTATAGTTTATAGAAGAAGAAAAAAAATACTCCGTTTCCACGGACACGCTCCCTTAATCAGTGAACGGCTGCTTGTCGATAGCAATCTGTGCAATCAATGGATAACGGAAAGCTTGCATGTTCCTACGGGACGAAGGGGCCAGGTGTCAGTGCGGTATTACCTTGGGCCGACTTGATGGGAAGCAACGTTTGATCTGCAATTCCAGGAGGGGACGAGAGGGGGGCAAGGACCCGCTGTTTAAAAAAGCCGTATGGCGCCCCCATGCTGATAATTGTTGGAAAGGGCACGTTTGACGCACATCAGGTCGACAAGGTCAGAGGCGAGTGGTACGAATACGCGCGGCTTAGACATGTGGAGCTGGTCTGATTATAGCGCATGGGGATCGATACGCGATTGGAACTAGGTTCGCTACCGCGACTCCTTTTCGTTTGCGCTTGTGGACGGGACAGATAAGTGGTGGAATTGAGCTGCTTGGCGGAGTACGAGGTGGCAATGTGTGTGGCGCTGTCAATAGGGGTGTAACCATCGGGGGGGGGGAGGGGGGCATGGCAGCGGGTGTCCCGCGTGCGCGTGGAGTGAGACGGTGCGGTGGTTATTTGAAGGGTGTGTGCTGATGCGTGTGATACTGTGTAAGCAAGTATATGTCGAGGAGAGAACAGGGCCGACTGGTCATGATGGGATTCGGCGCGCGCGATCCAGGCCTTGGGACGCCAACCCGAACAGTCGCTTGTTGCGGGGTGACGTGACGTTCCCGTCTCAGGGTCCAACAACGAGCGGGTCCATGGCATTGGGATAATCATGAAGACTAGGCTTCATCTGGGGCGTCCGGCCTTGGTAGTGAATTCAATCAATCTGACTGGGCCGGCTCGCCTCCATGCTGGGGTTGTCCAGATGCTTGGCAGAGATTGTGCTCCTTGGACCTGCCTAGAGCGAGCCCGTTCGCTGCTCGCGGCGTGTTGTGCGTGTGGGTGGCTGTCTGCGCCTGGCCGCTGCAAAATTGGTCTCCGCTTGTGCAAGATTGCCATTCGCCTCCACGGGCCCAGAGAACCGTCCTGCACTCGGCACGCGTGCCATAACGGGTCCGTCGCAAGCCTCCACGTCCCAAGGCCGGGCCATGCTACGACGCGTTGAGCGTCTCCTTTGTTGGCGTTTCAAGTCATTGGCACATTCCCCTCTCTCGCGTGCAATACGCCTGTCGGTAGACTCGTGTACCGCAACTCAGCCCCCTTCGGATGGAAACGCTCCAGAAGCTGCCAGGGCCATGCCCCGTGCACACGGCGCGGACGGGATGTCTCCCTAAAGGCTTTGACTCTCTCCTTGGTTTTGCAGAAGGATAGTCGGTCTGCCGTGTCAGTATATATCCTGCTGTCCCACGGATTAGTACACCCGCCAACTCTTACTGTCCCCAACCAGCGCCAAAGAAGAAGAAGAAAAAATGTCGCGACACAGGATCATTGCCCCGGCGGAAATCGAGCGACAAATTGCCCAAGGCGAACCGATTGTAATTCACGAGGGCTACGTCCTGAATCTAGGAGAATGGATTGACAAGCATCCGGGTGGTCGTCTCGCCATCCTGCACATGGTGGGCAGAGATGCGACCGATGAGATCAACATGTATGTAGTGCAGAAGACGTCCTAATATATACCAACCATAGTCCCATCGGATACAACTATTGCCGATGGTCCGGTCACACCATGTGCCCGGATGGCTGCGGAAGGGTTGTGTAAGCATCTCGGCGTCGATCATAGGCTGACTTGACGCCAGCTACCACTCCAATAGGGCGCTGTTCATGATGACAAAGCACCGCATTGGTCGCGTCCAGCTGCCTTGGGCCAACCTCGAGCCTCCAATTCGCTCGCCCAACTACTACAAGAATCTGGAAGAGAAGAAACGAGTGGGTGCCGTTCCTGAGGCTGAGAGGCAACGACGCGGTAAAAGCGTCGACTTGGGATCGGTGAGTCTACTTTCTATCCACAATCATACATCGAGCCAGACTAACAGGCAACAAAGGCTGCCGCTATCATTAGCAAAAAATTGATCGGAAAATCAGACACTTGTGTATTCAGGCCAAGCAGCAGGCCTGCAAGCGACCCGGAAAAGATTTCATTAATCGAAGATGATGCCGAAACATTGACCATCACTGCCGAGGAAGAGAAGAGGAGACACCGCGAGCAATATGCCACTGAGCAAGAAAAGCTAGAAATAGAAGAGGGCATCCGCGAGAACCCTTCGCTCGACGTCGAGACGCAAAAAGCCATCATCGAAGACTACCGCATTTTGCATCAACAGATCAAGGACGAAGGCCTCTACCAATGTCGTTATTCCGAATATGCCAAAGAGTCGATACGATACGCTTTCCTTTTCGCCGCTTTTGCCGGCCTATTGTACATCAAGTGGTACCTGACATCAGCCATCTTCCTGGGTCTATTCTGGGTATGACCACAACTCTTTCACAATGCCAGTAAATGCTAATCCATTTGCAGCAACAAATCATGTTCACAGCACATGACGCCGGTCACCGCGGAATCACAGGAAACTTCGTTGCCGATACGCTCATCGGTGCTTTCATCGCAGACTTTTGCTGCGGCCTCAGTATCGGCTGGTGGAAATCCAGCCACAACGTACACCATCTCATTACCAACATGCCGGAGCACGACCCGGATATCCAGAACATCCCTCTGTTCTCCACATCGCCTACCTACATGAAGTCCATCCTGTCCTCCTTCTACAACTTCCAGTTTGTATGGGATGCCGCATGCGATTTCTTGGTTCCCTACCAAAAGTACCTCTACTACCCGATCATGGGATTGGCACGATTCAACTTGTACTTCCTCGGCTGGCTGCATCTCTGCTCACCTCGCGCGGCTCAACTAGGTGCAGCTTGGTGGACGCGCCACGTCGAGCTTGTCTTCATGTGCTGTTACTGGTATCTCTTCGGCTACCTCCTTGTCTGGGTGACACTCCCCACATGGCCAATCCGCATTGGCTTTGTCCTGATCTCGCACCTCGTCACCATGGTTCTCCACGTCCAAATTACCCTCTCCCACTGGGGAATGCCCACCTCCGATCTTGGCCCCACCGAGTCTTTCCCGCAACGCCAAATGCGTACTACCATGGATGTTGAATGCCCGCAATGGCTCGACTGGTTCCACGGCGGCCTGCAGTTCCAAGCTGTCCACCATCTCTTTCCCCGTGTTCCACGCCACAACCTTCGCAGAGGCCAAGAGCTGGTCCGCGAGTTCTCGGCAAAGACGGGTATCAAGTACCACTGCTACGGCTTTGTCGAGGGCAACAAGGTAGTCATTGGCCGCCTAGAGCAGGTTTCACAAATGGTGAAAATCATGGTCGATTGCCAAAAGTACATGGCTGAGACAGGTGAGAGCGGTTTGCATTAAGTTACGCGCGGGCGCGAAAGAAAAAAACGCTACTTTTCTTCTTATTTGGAGCGTAGATTCTATGATATGGCGTTTAAAAAAACATTTACTCACTTTGTAATTACACGAAAAGTAAGCATAGAGAGGCTATTGCAAAATACTACGAAGATTTTATGTCGAATTTATCTTGAGAACTTTGATTGACTAGAGGGGTTTTTTCGTCTTGATATCAACTCTAATCATGATGACCGGAACCCCAAAGAAGAAGCACAGAAGTACAGTATGTATCGAGACTATCTCATGCTAAGCCTTATTAGGTATGAGTGGAATATCCTTGTACCCCATATACATGAAATATCGTGCCCTGGTGGCCCTAGCTAGTCGTAACTTTGCCCCGTATTATTTTAGGAACTTGGGGGATGTAAGCTTCTAAGCTGTTCTTATCTTTACCCAGCTATCGCGCCTATCAGATCACTAGCCAACCTCTTAGATGACACGGGACGCGCTTACGTTCACTTCTTTAGATGAGACCCCATGTTAAAGTGTCCAATTCACTAAAATAAAAGCAGGTTCACTGAAACTTCCCAAACGTAGTTTGAAGCCTTTTCTTTCCCTCAACCTGTTAGACTGCCAGCATCAATGCACCATGATATCCTAAAGTGTTATAGCGTGGACCTAATCCAAGACCAAAGTGTCAGGAATACGGAGATCAAGTCGGACCTACATTGATATTAACACTTGCAGTAAAGACCCGGTTTCCGATAATCATAATCCATGTCAAGAACAAAGTAACATAAACCTATCGATTGTGGTAACTACTCATGCAGAACTGACCACGGGCAGGCTGCTGATTGATCAGAAAGCGAGCACAACGATGGTTTGTCGGCGGTACCTGCGTTAGCTTTCCAGTTTCCCTAGGTACTATCTGCAAGCTAACACTCCATTATGGTTTTACTGAGTGTTCAGTACCATTGCTATGTGCGCCAAGTGTTCAGTGACATTCAATCGACCATGCCGGAGGCCCAGCTATACAGCTCTTTTACTGATTTCTCCAATTATCAGATCTTGCCTCAGCTGCCCCCAGTTTTTTCCTACGTTTCCTCCCGACTGCACGGTCGGCTTTCATTTCCTGTCGACACCACCTCCACTCATCCACCGCCTCATCCCACACGCCAAGCAACAAGACGACCCCAACAGCCTCCGCCATGGTACCACAGCGTCACACTCGGTAAATCAGCCTATTCAGTGCGGCATTCCGCCAGCCAGTAACCCTGTAGAGCAAGTTTTGTACAGTTTTTACGGAACTTGAGTACCCCGATGTCCTTCGCCAAGGCAATTCGCCGCCTTGGCTCTGCGCCCAGGCATGCATGTGTATAGGCCACCCGACAGAGAGGATATAAAACTTTCGATCAATGAGTGCTGGATTGTTTCTTCTCTCTTTACTACCTTGTACGAAACAGCTGGCCTCGAGTTGCTTTATACATTTTTCGTTAGACATACAAGCTCAACTCGACAAATCAATCCCAGTCGCTACTATACAGTCAATATGAGATTCTCAATTACCCTTCTCCTCGCTGCGGCCGTGGCAGTCGTCGCTCAAGACACCGTCTCTGCTCCCTCCAGTGACTGCGAACCCCACGGTGACCACTGGTAAACAGATTCCTCTCATAATCCCCAGTAACGAAAAGAAAAGCTAACTCCACAAAGGCACTGCGCCGACGGCGTCCCAGAACCCACTACTCCTCCCACCCCCGAGCAGCTCGCCAGCTTCTCCGCTGCGGAAGCCGCCGAGGACTCGACTCCTGCGTCTGCCATTGCCTCCAGGACTTCTTCTGGATCCGTCCTCGTCACTCCTTCTTCAACTCACTCCCATGACGACGATGATCACGATGATGACGACCACGTGGCTACCGCCAGCACATGCGAGCCCCACGGCGACCACTGGCACTGCCCCTCTGGTGTCGCAGAGCCAACCGCTCCCCCTGCTGCGGCCGTCTCTGGTACCACCACTACTTCTGGTGCCACTTCTGGCGCCGCATCTGCCGCATCGTCTGCCAGCCAAGCTCCCCAGCAGACTGGTAACGCTGCCTCCCACATCGGTGCTGGCCAGGTTGTCGCTCTCATAGGTGCTGCGGCTTACTTCCTGTAAGCGTTTGTGTAAATGCTTTCACCCGGGCTGAGATTCAATGAGCCCCTATATGCATAATTTGGAATGGGTTTTTTGATTGGAGCTTGCCAGTCGTTTTTGTACATAGATGATGATTATGGGTATTATGAATATTTCTTGGACTGATCGGGCACGTGGTCAGTGACAATGGAAAATAGTACACTGCTGTTGGGTTTCCCACTCATGGGAATTTGTTGCCATGTTGTGTTTTGGCAATCTTTGCACGAATTTCTTCAGGGTAGTTTGGTCTAATCAAACTATACTCATTCGGGGTATTCGCATCTTCGTTTCCAAAAATGTGACTGGGAAAATAGCAATAGAGTTAGCAGCGAAATATATACAAAAGTACAGTTAAAGTAAACATACAAATTAAAGAAACCCCTGGATTAGAGCCAGTCTTACATCCGATGCATGACGCAATCCCAAACAGTACAAGGGTGTAGGCGGCAACTAGGCTGGGCAAGGAAATCAGTGTCAGCAAGCTTATGCAGGGCTGTCCGTAGTACCACAACATCGGCATATCGATCTATTACTTCAACCAAGAATTTCGCGTTTTATACCAGTAGTCTCAGTAGTTGTTGGGCGCTCTAAAGTTCATGGTAGTAACTGTATTGTAGCTATATTAGTCCGGTACAACATAACAGCTGTGTAATCTACTGGTAAAAAAGTAAGATACGAGATAGCAATTTACTCCGCAATCTTTCGACTAATCTGTTATTAGCTTAAGCATCTTTGATTTCCCACATATTGTTTCTGGTACTAGGAAGCCCTGTATCTGACAAGTAATCCTTGTTATGTACCCCCCTTCACCACTATCCGGATACTCCTAGTCTCGACAACCCATCTTGTGCACAAGAATTCGTCCATCGTAATTACGTATCTGGGGGAACTACCGATCACCAAGATCCGCTCTTTTATCATCAGATTCTTTTCGTATCGTTCACAGACTCGTTGATCATCTATCGGGCCGTGTGAAACAATTTAGGGTTGTTTTCTGTGTCAGCTTACTCATATCACTGATAGCAGATGTACGAATGCCCACATGGGAATGTCAGGCGTGGAACGAGTGATACAGTTTAGATAAAAACTAGCTTGTTTAATAGTATCTAGTCGGAATAGACTGTGTAACTTTTTTTGGGCTGGAGTAAGGGACCATATAGTAGTATTTTTGCATGCATGTGGTGTGTGTGTGTGTGTGTGTGTGTGTGTGTGTGTGTATTCGCTGCTCCAGCTCCCAAGTTAGTACCTATACCTCAAGTCTCTTGACTTTGATCTGTGTATAAAGAGAGAGAGAGATAATATCTTCTCCTAGTATTTGTAAGACTGCTAACTACAAGGACAAGAGGAAGATAGCCTACAGTCAAGATACGATGGAACCGCCAAAACTAGACAAGCTCTTATAGCACAGGTATTCATGGAAAAATATAACAGTTTCCAAAGCGACCAGGCACTTCTTGAAAAAAAAAGGAGATATTTTACACAACCTCTCTATATCCTCAACTTCACCCTCGTTCATTCACTCTATTGCAACAGTAAAGCAGTAGGATTGCTTGCAACAGAAATGACCAGCGTGGTAAAAGCTCAGCGAAAGTAGCGCATGGTACAAGGTTATTTCCCTAGATGATTCCGTGTCGAACCAGTAAATATCCCTGGCCGTAGAGTCAAAGCAAAAAAAAGCCAAGCCCTTTAAAGCTAATATGGATTTAATCAGCCACCAATCTACACCGAGGAAGCGAACGTCACAAGTAGAGTAGTAGCAAACAGACACGTCGTAATAAGAAACAAAGATAATCATCACATTCATAATCATATCTATGTGCAACCCGTCCCAAGCAGGTCGACACACTCGCTTTAAAAACAACAAGTACAAAAACCAAGATGTGGGGGGAATATATGCTAGCCTTTCCTTTACAACCCAAAAACGCAGAAAATGCAGCAACGTCCTTTTTTTCCATTTGCAATGACGGGTTTGATGCATATGCCAATGAATGACTTTGTTGTACGACCAAAATGATAATGATGAAAAAAAGGATTGTGGGGACAAGCAGGTTTTAAAACCCATTGAAGCCCATCATGATACCGGCACCGGCGATGGCAGCACCGCTGATCCATGGGTTTGCGGTTGCGGCTGGTGGAGCAGCACCACTGGGAGACTGGAAAACTGTACCGGTGATGCTGGGGCCGTTAACCCTAGGCCCACCAGTGCCGATTGCAGCCGTAGACACCGCATTAGGAACAACCTGGGCGTTGGGAACGCCATCAGCGCCCTTTTTGATTTCCTGAATGTTTGACGCAGTCGCATTGAAGTTTGTTTGGGCGAGGGAGATTTCGTTGTTCTCGATATCGTAGACGACATATGCGGAGCGTAGGAAGGTGTCTCCAAGGACGGCTAGGGAATCGCCGGCTGGGCCAACTCCGAAGATGCAAATGGGCCGCCCGCGGCTGACGGCGGCAAGTACAACGAGTTCGTTGAGGGGAACAGAGATTTTGACGCCGGAGAAATTAAAGTCGACCGAGCCTTGTCTGTTGGCCAGGTCGCAGTTGACAAAGGCAGCACCCTGCGAGGAGTCGTACTGGGCGTTATAGGTTTGGTACAGCGCATTGGCAACCTGATCAGGTAGGTACATCAAGGACGAGCCAGAGTCGAGTAAGACAGGCACGTTTTCGTCCTTGAAAAGAGAACCATCGTTACCGTTCTCTCCCATTCCGGTCAAAGCAACGACGAACTCGGCAAACTGGCCCCGTTCGGGAATGATGGGCAGCGTCTGCAGTTGGCCACTGAATTTTTCGGTATCCACGCCACCAAACAGAATGCTTCCAGTTGAAGCGTCCAAGTCGTTCAGCCATAGCGAATAAGCCATGGAATTGATGGCGCCGTCATCTCGGAGTTTTTCAGGCAAGTTGGGGTAAGGGTCCAAGCCAGCGCGGCCTACGGCGACCTCGTTGATGGGATATCCGATACCGAGAATGCCTTCTGTCGAGCTCGATACGTAGCCAATACCAAATTGCAAGTCCTTCAATGTCTTGCCTCCGAAACGAAACGTATCCGTGGCATAATCTCCCGATGCGCCTGATCCGTCTACGTAGGAAATGTTGAAGACGCTATTGACATATTTGTATGTAGACGATTCGTTTGCGTTGTATGTGCCTGATGCTCCGCACTGATTCCCGCCTTGCATACAGAGATTTGAGTTGACCGCGTTGACCCAAAGATCGCTGCTACCGGTATCGATGTGTAGTCGGAACTTCTGCGGTGGAGTGCCTAAACTTGCGTTTGCGAAGTATAGAGTTTCGAGGTTATCGAGCGTCTCTTGAACGGTATTTTGGCGTCTTCGTAACCGGTCGTGCGCGACTGGATTAATGACATTGCGGCGCTGGGTATCGAGCAGGACTACTTTGGGATTCTGTCATGGGCGTGTGAGCGAACATGTTTGCGTCGGTGCGGGAGGATTCGCTTCGCAAGGCTGAAAGCCGGGGTAGATAAGAGTGGCACCTACCTCTCGTGGGACGAACTCTAATGCCGCCGCAGCTGACACTAAAGTTGCCGAGAGTAACAACGAAGATTTCATGATGATGTTTTCTGAAAGTTTAATGCCCGAGGACTCTGCCAATCTATACCACGAGAGGGGAGGACCCCTGGTGTGGCTGAGTGAGATTTGATGCGCAAAGAGTGGGCGGCGGCTTTGGAGGGCGTTTCGGGCTGCTGAGGCGCAGAATGCAATTCAAAGGCAGTGGCAGGCTTGAAGCGGGGGAAACAGGGGGTGGCCGGGCAGTTAAAAAGTGAATAGCAAGCAGAAACACAGGCAAGGTGAAGCAGAAGCGCGCGGGCTGTCGAGGTTTTGACGCCGCAGGGGGGCGTTAGAGCCCGGGGTGATGACGACGCGTGTATGATGAGGTCAAGTCTAGATGTGTTACGGATTCAGCAGCCTTACGTACTACTGCTGCCCACGTAACCGCCCGAGCGGCCAGGCCATTTCAAGATACGAGCAGCCGATGGATGAATTGTTCTCAGAGAAGAACAGTGTGGCGGTGCCCTTGTTGGTGTACAGTGTGTACTACAGCCATCATCCTCAGCCATCAGCCATCAGCCATGGTTGTGCCGATCCATCGAGAGCCGCCTCGCAACCCTGTGCCTGCACGCTGCTGACAGAGACAAGGTAGCGAGAGATGATGCCACATGAAAGTTTGAGGCATTCGGGCGGGGATCAGGATACAGTGTGTGGTGAGTGGGTGCAGGGCGTGTGCTACCTCGACAAGCCTCATACGTCAGTGGGCAGGTGCAGGTGTCCATTTGGCGCCGTCCCTGAACCATCCGAAGCCTACCGACTGCGCAGTTTGCTTATCCCCGGCCTCCCAAAATGCGCCCCCGGAATCAGGTACATCCGCACCCGTTTTCTCGCATCCACGTTGCCCAAAGATAGTAAATCCCGCACCGTCGTCGTTCCCAAGACGTTTGAGCTTGAAACAACATCCACGCGCAAATCTATTCTCCGGCACGCGTGGGCGGCAACCATGGGGGTGGCGTCGAGGCGCCACAGCCGGATTCTGTGAACCTATCCTTTTGTCCACATGATTGCGCGTCATTTTCCACCGTGGCTGAGCGGTTAATGACTGACGACGACGACTATTCCAGCTTTGTATTGAAGCATCCGCCGTCTGCCGCAAGGTCGAGCGAGGTGTAGGTCGAGATGCATTTCGGGCCTATTGTGCACGTGACGACTAGTCCCAAAACGGTAGGCCCGTGAAAGCGCGTCTGCAGACCGTCGCGTCTCCCGCGTCACCCCTCCACGTCCGATATCCACGTCCCAAAATGTCCAAAGCCGAGTCGTCAAAGGCCGCTGCCAGCAACACTGTCAAGCCCAACCCCAATGCTGCTGGAGGTGCAAACTACGAGCTGCCATGGTAATTGACTATCCCAATTGCCGCCCTGGCCATATACACTGACACTTGTCCAGGGTAGAAAAGTACCGTCCCGTCTACCTCGACGATGTCGTCGGCAACACCGAGACCATTGAGCGCCTCAAGATCATCGCAAAAGATGGCAACATGCCACACATGATCATATCCGGCATGCCAGGTATCGGCAAAACAACCTCCATCCTCTGCCTCGCCCGCCAACTCCTCGGCGACGCCTACAAGGAAGCCGTCCTCGAACTCAACGCCTCAGACGAGCGTGGCATCGATGTCGTCCGCAACCGCATCAAGGGCTTCGCCCAGAAAAAAGTCACCCTCCCCCCGGGCAGACAAAAGCTCGTTATCCTCGACGAGGCAGACAGCATGACAAGTGGCGCCCAGCAAGCCCTCCGACGCACCATGGAAATCTACAGCGCAACTACCCGCTTCGCTTTCGCCTGCAACCAGTCCAACAAGATCATCGAGCCCCTCCAATCCCGCTGCGCCATCCTCCGCTACGCCCGCCTCACAGACGCCCAGGTCGTCCGCCGCATCATGCAAATCTGCGAGGCTGAAGACGTCAAGTACTCGGACGACGGTATCGCCGCACTTGTGTTTTCTGCAGAGGGAGATATGCGTCAGGCAATAAATAATCTGCAATCGACTTTTGCCGGCTTTGGCTTCGTCAACGGCGATAATGTCTTCAAGGTCGTGGATAGCCCGCATCCCATCAAGGTGCAATCGATGATCAAGGCGTGCCACGAGCAGCGTATTGACGATGCGCTGGCGTCGCTGAAGGAGCTTTGGGATTTAGGGTATTCATGCCATGATATTATTAGTACCATGTTCAAGGTTACCAAGACGATTGATACGTTGAGTGAGCATGCGAAGCTCGAGTTTATCAAGGTGCGTAGTCTCGCTTTCTAATCCGTCTCCAGAAAGAAAACAAAATTCTAACAGCACGTAGGAAATCGGCTTCACACATATGCGCATCCTCGAGGGCGTTCAGACGCTCCTGCAGCTTTCTGGCTGCGTTGCCCGCTTGTGCAAGATTAATATGCAGCCTCAATTATTTGCCCTGCCTACCAAATGAAAATGAAATGATAAAAAGTTTGTAGCAATGTTTATTCGACATTTAGCATGGCGTTTGGCGTGGACATGACGAGCCATATGATAGGGTAGCTCCCAACGGAATATTAACAGTCTTCATATTAATTGCCTCCAAGCGTGATTGTCACATTCAAACATGCCAGCAAATTCACAGCAATATTGCATTGTCATTTCACATTACTATCATTAGATGTGTTCCCTCGAGAAAAAAAAACACTTCTCGTGCTCTCCGAGACCCGGCTTAGCTAAACATACGTGTAGAGCACACTCAACTAGGACCTCGGCGCAGGAGTAGGAAACGGTTGAGGAAAGGGATACGATTGTGACGACGTCAACGGAACAAAAGAATTCGTGTGCGTTGCGTTTGCAGGGCCCGAAGACGTCAGATTGGCTGTAACTGGTTTCTGGCCCGTAGCGATATCGAAGTGGTTAATGGTGCGGTTGAAATAGGCCAGGGCTGCGATGGCTATAAGCAAGTAATCAAGGTTAGCCCATCATTGCATCTCAAAATTCCTGTGCTGGAAAACTATACAAGGAGGGCCAAACTTACGCTGGTAATAAGGAATCTCATGCCCGGACTCGTAGATACGAGCAAAGCTGAAATTACCATATTGACGGACCTCACCGTACTCTGTACCGTCGACAGTCATGGGCTCGTATCCCGCAGCGCGGAACTGTTGGCTATGCGTGTATTCCAGTGCCAAACTAATAGCCTGACCACCAAACCAGTTGCCTGCAGTATTACTCGTCAGCACATCCATCCTCGAGTACAGCGGGGAGGTGAGGAAAGGAGAGGATGAAGAGATAGAAAACCCACAGATATAATCAGCATCCCCATACGCCAAGCTAACCCGCACATCGTGATTAAGCAGATACTCCAAATCGAGCCTGTAATTCGGAAACACCCAATCTCCACTACTCTGGAAAGCATAATAGATGTTCGAGTTTGACAAGGTATAATTCACAGTCACGCCAAGTGCCTCTTGCACCTTTGGATCGTTCAGATAATTTTGAAAGTTATCGGGCGGCGTTGGATCTGCGGTCGGGTGACGGATATCGTACGTGCCGCGGCCGCTATAGTAGTAGTATGGCCCTTCAACATTATCGCGACACATGTTTGCTGATTCGGCGCAAAATGCCTTGACGCCAGGCAACAAATCTGCAGTTGTGATGCGCGCAGCGGGATCGAAGTACGACCCATTTGTGCCCGCTGCGATGCGGCATTGACCAATCTTGTAGCGGCAACCGCCAAACATGTTGTTTGCGAATTTGGCGTACGAGTAGACCGTGTCGTTGTAGGCTTTGATGCCGTATGTGTTGTTGACGGCGAATTCCGGGTACCAGTCTGCTTGCACCTCTACGTCGATGAGGGCATTGATGAGACTCAGACTGTTGAAGTTGATTTCGTAGCCCGGCATGCTTCCATTTTGGATCTTTTGGTTTTGATCGTCAAAGTAACGGTAGAAGGTGGGACCGTAGTGGCCGCCGTAGGATTCGGTGGCGAAATTGAATTCTCGTGATGCGTTTACAGGACCGATTTTGGCATCGAACTTTGGGATGGTGGCGAAGAGCGCTTGCAAAACGTGCTGTGTACGATGTGTCGTTAGCTAGATAGTACGGTGAGAAAAGGACGTGTTCAAAAATACTTACCCATACTCCTACTGCTGCAAGATCAGTCGTATCAACCGTGCCCCGGTTCAATGGATCCAAAACTGGCCAGACCCCAGAAGAATCAGAGTCAGTAACGTTGGGAATAAAATCTCCCGTGAAATCGTTGAAAGCGCCAACACCCTCTGCTTGGTAGCTGAAGCCTGTGCCGACCGGCTGTGAAATGTACAGCATGTTAGAGATATTATTCCAGCTATATGGGTTATACACAGCCGTGATATTGTCATCAATCATGCAAGGTCCATTTTCCTGGAAGAGCCCAATAAGGGAATCGGATCCAGGACCGCCATTCAACCACAGAGTGACCGGGTCGGAAGCAGGATCTCTACGGGATTCAAAGAACCAGAAGAAGATGTGGACCTATATAGTTGTTAGTGGGAAAGAAGGTATCTATACCAAAACCAAAGCACCTGGTAACATACATTAGGTGCAAGATCCACATATCCAGCATAACTCTCTACGCCAGGTGTTGTTTCGCAGATACCAGGGTTCTTGTATCGGATCGTGACATTGTTGGGCGCAGTAGCAATCTTGTAGCCATGGTCATCCCTGGGCAGCAGGACATGCTCACTGCGCTTTTCCCAAGCACCCTTCGGCACGGCAGCAGCGTGTGATGCGAGCAAAGAGAGTGCCAATAGCGGTGTGGCTACTGACTTGGCAAACATTGTGCCTGAAGAACTGGACAGCAATAGTAGAGAGAGTAGGACGCACCACGGTGTATTTAAGCTCCCTTGGAAGCAAGGCTTGACAGGCTTGTCCTACCCTTGGCGCATCCTCCTGTCTTTCCCTGCATGTGCATGAACCCATGAACTACTTTGACCTTGATCCGAGAGTTCCCATAGGAGGTCCGGTCCTACGACAAAGGAAAGTGGTTGGTCCTTGCCTCAATAAGTCTAGCCAGCGATGCAATACCCTAGCAATAACCTTACATTCCCACATGTCAACACAAATAAACCTGGTACTCTCACTACTGATGACAAAGCTCCTTACCGGCTAATAAGAGTAAACTATGTTGGGCAGAGATAAGGTATAGAAGCTGGTTGGGCAATGGCGGCAGCGCTAGGACTCCTATGACGGAGGATACAGACCTGAATGAGCGTTATGCTTTCGGTGTTTACACGGCCAAATTTTGGCGTGCATGTGTATAAATGCATGAGCAGGAACTATCCGGATATCCCGTCAGTAAGAAAAGGTTAAACGGCCTAGAAGGTCATGAGATGCAATGAGCTATAGCCAATGCACATCCGCGGCATTAATCTGAATCTCTGCCATTGAGGCGGTGACAAGGTGGCGTGGTTGCGTGGTTGTGGGTGTGCGGGAAAAGAAGTACAAGATGGAAAGACATGCGGTGGAACGTTTTGAGAGTACAGATGCTGCTTTTCGGGCCGACCGGCAGGAGCTCTGGAAGTTACATAATAACATCAAGTACCTTGGTTTGTTCACCAAACTATCATAGATACCCACACAAGGTTTATTCTACGGGGCACTCCTTCTCTCTTATATATGGTCATGTGATTATGTGAGACGAACTACCACCCATAATACCGCATAGCTAAAGCTCTATGTGACCTAGGTTAGGCTGGTCATAGACTAGTCTATCTATTAATACTACGATAGTTGCACATATATAAAGCCGAGGCTCACACATGAGGACAGAAGCAAGTTCATTTTTTTCCAGCGCTGTGCGCATGCTTGCGAATACTGCCAGCTAGATAGTGGGAGTGTGCTTAGTGCGCGCTTGATACAGAATAACCCCCGTGTGTGTGTGTGTCGACACTATCAAGACTGGCGGTGCACTGCCTTATCATTCCAACACTGCGTATGATTCTGGGGCGACATAATGACGCTCTTATTTCAGAACAAAAGAACAAAAGATTATGGTAACGAGGCAGTGGTGTCGCTCTCGTACTGAAACCTAGAGAAGATGCGCTTTGATCTACGTGGTACCCCGATGGCAAAGCCTGTCGCATTCACATCATATACTTGCTCAGATACAAGACGATACTAGATAGCTGTCTATTACAGTACCTTAACATACGATTGATACTTATACTCTGACATAGCGTTATAGTGATTGAAGTCCATATCCGTGGTCTAATAAGGTGTACGCTAATTGGGATAACGGTGAAGCAACGCGGACTAGGAGGGATTATGGGCTAATACCAGGGTGCTTCATATAATTAAGATAACTTGGCCTTATCCTAGATCTCAATATGCTCGCAAATCTTTTATGGGTTACGAGTGCGCTAGAATGTTAAGTGTTGCACAGTTGGCAGAAAGGTTTTAGGCATAGTTTTGTAAGAAAGCTATGGATATTTATTGACTATGCTATAGCTATTTCAAAAGTTCATATTCCCAAGAACCTCATGCTAATAATCCTTAAGTAAAATATATGTTCAATTTGTCTCTGTATATACTAACCGTATATTATAAGTAGGACGCAGAAGTAAATAGAATATTAGGTCTTACCTTGATGTTATAGGAATGGATAGAGAATAAAGGCTGACCTAAGTAGTCTACTCTCCAAACTATGTTCTAGGTCAGCTTTTGAAATTTCCCAAAGTGTATGCCTGCATAACGACGTACAGGCTGAGCGCAAGAGGAATCGTTTCCTTCAGCGCATTCGTAGCAGCCACCGCCGCCTGGGCAAGTGCAGCAAAAGTTTTCCTCCCTGCAGAGCTGGGAGCAGTCCTGGCGGGACTTGAGTGTCAAAGCATTGACATGAGCTGGTGGTGCAGCGGCAACAAATGCAACGAATGTTGTTACGATAAGAGCAAGTGAGAACCTCATTTTGGATGAATTGATCGTTGGTTTGGCTTGATAGTATTGTATGAAACTGTTGCTGATGGTGACATGATGCTGGGTGTTGTTCGGGGTCTACTTATAGCTTTTTCTTCCAGGTACAGCTCTCAGCAGGTCATTTCAAAGTGCCAAACTTTATTCTTTGAAAGGGCATAAGTCTCCTCAAGGGCCTGATTCCCAGCCTTTACTGGGTTCATGTGGTGCTGCGCGTCATCCATCTCCTAGGAAAGCGTTGAGTTTCCCTGGAACAAGACGTCTTTTGCTTCTGGTACTGTATAATGTGTAATTGTGGTTGATTCTAGATTCACCCAACTCCGAACCGGCTTAGAAGATGTTGCATTGAATGAGTAGTTGTGAACCACTTCACCCCCTTTTGAGTACCACACTTCCTGTAATCTAAGTTGCAGACCCTGGCGATAACAACGAACCTCGGCGGCTTTCCTCGGTCTAGGAGACGATGTGTATTATTCTGAAAAGCGTTATACGAATTCTATCCATCTCTCGTTTAAAGATCAAACATATATAACCATTTCCTTATCCTGATAACGTCAATTCAGTCTTGACTCTCAATTTTGTAATGAGCATCATATCTAGTTGGCAAACGTTAATCAAAGAACGCAAACAATATGTCTAGTGAAACTTTTATCCTAACTATATCTTTTTTTCTTCGATATTACAGGTACTTTTATTTTTCATTCTGGAAACTATTCAAAATCCCCTAACCTTGCTCAAAGTGAGCACGGGTGGTACGAGTTGAAACAAATTCATGAATAGCATTCCAGTTACGACAGGTGTGCATCACGTCGGACTGCACAAAGCTCCTCCCATACCATTGATACCAGATTACTGGTATTGGAGTCAAATCAGCATGACACATTAGTTGTTGTCGAATATGATCTATGCAATGATCTCGATGGCCTCTCTCTGGGTAACGTTCGTTTGTCTCGCGGTTATAATAATGCTCACGATCAAGCGCTCTTCGTAATTGCTCGACGCAACTTAATGCATGGAAGACATCCAATCCAACCATATAGCCGAGATGCTCGTGATAGTAGAGCCCATGAGACTTGCCAAAAGCTTCCTCTGCTTCTTCCTCTGTGACGACGAAGTATCGCCCTTTTGGCAACTGATCCCATGCTTAATCGATCTCTGGACTCGGCGGTCCGACATAGGTGGGTTCATTTGGATTATTGATGCGGTATCCAGTGCCGTTGTCGTACCATCGTGGACCTCCATAAAACATAGTTGGTTGCTCCTGAATAGACGACTTCGCCGGAGGAAACTCAGTCTCGAAACCAGGACTGAAGGAACTGCCTGGATGGCTGATATCGTAGCGGGGAGTTTTGAGGAGTATTAAAAAGAGAGACTCAGTGCTGCATGCGAAATTGCCTGCTAAAATGCACGCTGCTTGTAAGCATGCGGAAGGCGGAATACAGCGAGTCGGTATTGTATAGATGTTGTCGTTCTCGTCTTGTCGAACAACTGCATATTTTGATTTCTTCAGGAAGCTCATGCTGATTTCTATGATGAATTTGCGGGAATAATGAAAATTAGGAGCGTCGAGGACTAGACGATTGATGCAGCATTTATACGAACACAAACATCTGATCTTGAATAGAAGGCCTCTAATTCATCGAATACTGGAACCGGTTCGTTTATTATTTATTTGAGAGGGCAGTATGCATACTCAATCCAGTCTTGCAACTCAGAGCCTTGTTCGGTTACTTTTGCCCATCTCTATTTCAAAGCTTATCTTTGATCAGAACTTAGTAAACAATTTTGTCCCTATTACAGCACCTAGACTCATTTAAATAAGTATAAGACGCTTAGTCTTGACAATCGCCTTGCAACGGGCAATAATAGTTGTAATAAGACTATATTTAATAGTAGGTATCCTCACAAAGACATATGAAACATGAACGTTATAGCAAGCGATAAGATGTCACAGCTAGAAGAAAGATAAAGAACAGAGGACGATTGCCTTCCTCTCCCTATGCTAACCATTCAAAACCAGTGCAATACCCTCTACCATAACGCAATGTATGAAACATGAACCTGGAGCTTTCCTAGCCATCATCAGGGTAACGAGTGTACTCGCTCCGGATGCAGCGGCACTCTCTTCCCTCTGGGTACAGAAATACTGCCATTCCACCTCGCCTTTGAGAACTCATGTAGCTTCTCGAAGTTGCGGTAGGTATGCACCTGTTGCGGGGCAACGTATTGGCCGTATCCATCACGCCATTCGGTAGGCGAGATGACAGACGTCGCTTGGCACTGGATGACTTGTCGTAAATGATCAATGCATTGTACTAAAGGTCCACAATTTAGTGTGTATGTGTATAAAAGCTAAGAAAAAAATCACGTAGCTAAACGTACGTTGATGTACCATGCCGCGGTACTTTTCCTCGGGATAGACGTCTCGTCGTAACGCCTTCCGCAATTGATTCAGGCAGTGTAGACAGTGGAAGAGATCTAACCTGTATAAAAGGTCAGTAAAATCTGTCAAACGGGTCTATATCTATGGAAACCTTACGATCCACTCCAGCCACCATGCATGTGAATAATCCCTATACTTCTCATAATCTTTACCCCCAAAACCCAATCGCCTCCTTCTCAGAAATTGGAAAAGTAATGCGTAACCCCGCCCAATGATGCCATCCCACGCTTCATCAATTTCGGGCGGACGGCTCTCCAACATAAAGCGACCGTTTGAGAATTTCCTCGCCGTCGGGGCTAAAAATCCACGCCTCCTGTGAAAACTGTCTGCACATGTTCAAAACATTTCCGATGGTGCTGTTGAATAATAGGGTTTACGTAAAAAAAGTCAGGGTTCATGACAATAAAATTGAAAACAAAAAAAAAGCGAAAATGGGATAATGCCACAACTTACTGACGATTTTTTCTTCTTTGAATCCGGTATTGTAAGATCCATAGGGTTCTCCGTGGCGTGAGGTAGGTATTTTGTATCCTAACAACATTCCTATAAGCAGCGAAAATAGAATGATAAGCAATTGAGAAATTCGAGACCCAGAACTCTTATTACGCGTAGTTTCTCCCAAGGTCGTCAACATCTTCTTCTTCTTCTTCTTTTTTTGCGAGTAACTGCGCTTCGCCATCTTACTCTTCACCGTCAACCGGTCGTCGATACAACTGTTTCATTCGTATTTTGTCCCAGAAGTATGTGGTTCCAAGTATTGTGCAGTATATCGTCATAGCAACAGATTTTCAGTGCCCTTTAAAGCACTGCTGAAGAGTTTGGTCTTGAGGAACATACATATATATATATCGACAATCGCAGTTGCGCTATAAAGTCGAAGAGAATCACGCCAAGCAGCGGTTTTTGTGGTTGTTCAATTACCCGCGCGAAACGGGGAAGTGTACGGGGTGTATGGTTGGAGACTCCAAGTCAAGCATAGCCCCGGCAAGGACTCAAGCTCTTTAGTAATGTAAGGGAGAAGCTTCACAATTTACCCCGCTTAGGCATTGCGTCACCTTAAGGCTTGAGAGTTCCAAAGCGGATACTTCGGCTTGATTGGATGTAGATCTGCCTCAAAGTATCCTTCTTTTTTTTGCCAACATCTCTTTTAATTAGGCTGTCTACCCTTTACAGGAATAAGCGCTACTTCAAAGGTCGGCCGAAAGGGTCAGCCACATGTCTGATATGCAGCTGCATGTCGTTCCAGACTTGGTCAAGTTTCTGACTAATTATCGCCTACTGTACGTAGCTAGTTAGCGCGACTCTACATCCCCTCTACCGGGGACGACCGTATTACCATTACTTCAAGTCAACTTTGGTTGCGATAAAAGATGAATAACTAACTTAACCTTTTTCTCTCTATCTATTGTATACCATATCAGATTAATTATCTTAAAATGAATAGTAGGCTATACTCTAATCTACTAGGATTAGATATTCCAAAAAACACTAGTTATAGATAAAGTAGAAAGATTTAAATAAGAGCTTTATATAAAGATTTCAGACCTCTAGCTTAGAAATCTTTCTATAGAAGAGTGTATTCTATAAACCACTTGATTTATACAAACTTCACCTAGCCAACTACTCACGCATCCCCTAACCCACTACTCTCCAACCAAACCACCCCCCTCATACTCCCCATGCCCATATCCCCCACACCCGCAGTACTACTCCTTACATCCTGCACCACAACCACCGCATCCGCAAAGCTCAAATTATCCGTCTCACAGTTCAGAATCTCCACATCGTCCGTATCACTCTTCCCCTTTTCAGGCCTTGCCTTGATCCTTGGTCGAATCTCCACGTTAGGTAAGAGCGTGTTTCCCGGTCTGAGCGGTATAAGTACAATCGGCCATTCGTGCTCTTGGTCTTCGGTGGCAGTGAAATGAGCGCGGCGCTGGCCGGCGACGAGCCATACCTCTGGGTTTGCGTCAATGGTGTAAACGAAGTCAATGGGGTCGGTGGGGTCGTTGAGGTTGGCGGCGGAGACAAGACTGGAGGATGAGGCCCAGCGGCGGGTGTGTGAGATGCGGAGAGTGGCCATGAGGGGTTGGCCGACAATTGCGATGGGGGATTGGAAGGTTGTAGATGGTGAGTTTAGGGTGAGAGAGGCGGTGTGGAGGATGTGTGTTTGTGGGATAGATACTGTTATCACCATGCGCCGCGGTGGATTTGGCGACGGTGGAGCTGTAGGACGTTGTGTGGTGTGTGGTGATTCATCCGTCTCGAGACAGACGATTCGATGTTTCTACAATTATACATTAGTATTTGCAGAGCAATATTTTCTTTGCAGTGTCCTTACTTCATGCCACTTTTGCAACCACGTCTGTGTATCATCACGGATGACAAGAGGTAAGCTTTCAAGACAGTCAGCCCATCCCATATCCTCGAAAGCTCCAAGGTCGATCCTTCCTAACAACGCTGTCTTTTCGTATTGCTGAGGCAGGATGCTATGCTCGATGTGATTGACAAAAGTATCAGTCAAGAGACGAGACAAGCGGTGAATTGGACTGTTCTCGACAGCCTCCGCAAACAACTTTCGCATACGATCCAACACATCCTCATTAAGACAACGGTACTCGACAGATAAAGATAGACTACCGGCAGTGCTGATCCGACTTCTTCGTTTCTGTGCGGCGTCCATGGCCTTCTTGATGACTTTGTACGTGACCGCCACTGGCTGTTTTGGGAACACATGCAGTGGTTCCTTTGGTTGTTTCGGTGCATGGACATTAAACTCCTCCGATCCTTCCAACGAAACGGCCAAGAGTTCCAGTGGTATGTGATTGGCAGTCTTGATGTTGAATTTCGAGAACAGTGACTTGCTCTTGAAATGATCATGTACATTGACGTCCAACGGCAGCTCAACAGGAATCACAAAGGACGAAGTGTACTGGAACTGGCCGTTCTCGGTAAAATAGTCGACGTCAATCTTGACGGTAAGGTCCTGGAGGATCGTTTCCATGTCGTAAGGTACTTTCAAGGTGGCTGCGGAGCCGGTTACCATTTCTCCAATTGCAATGACGCCAGGAGTTTGCTTGTTGTCCTCGAGTTCAATGTCACCAGCCTCTATGCTTGCATTCGCTGTACGCAGCCGCAGTCCTGCAGAAGCAGACTTTAGTCGAATATCTGCACGCTTTATCGCATTCCAACCACTCGAGAATTCGACCTCAATATGACGCGGCTTATCGATGTGGATCAGATGCGAAAGATAGATGCGAGCTTGGAAAGCTTCAGTGCGCGGAAAGCATAGAATCCTGGCTTTCTTGGCTGCTCTGAGCGAGTGTGCAGATACAGATGTGATGATGCCAAGAGGTGTTGTTGCTTCGGTCTTCTGGAAAGGTTCGTGCACAAAGACGATGCGTTTTGCTTCCAAGACGATCCTATCCACCATGTATGGCCCAATGGTATTCACCTAGAACACGTTAGCCTTCCCTATGAAGCGACACCGAGAAACTTACGTTGCAACCAATCCACATGCGGTTCAAGCCCTTCTTCACCTGGATTGTACCAGTCTCTTCAAGCCATACGTCCTTGGCTTGGTTGGAGACGGAACTGACCAGTCTGATCTTGGCTGCTCGAATCTCAATCTCATCCTCAAGGAGATGCCTGAATTGAAGGCGTAGCTGGAACCCATCTTTGTCCTCGTAATGCCGCACATAAGGTTCAACGGAAATATCGCTAAAATACTTGGCCATCTGGACAGTGACATCGTAGGGTAACTGTTGTGAATAGCCAACAATCTCGTGAAGTACATCAGTGGTATCCACGTTGTCATCGTTGAGCCATTCGTGAGAGTCGCCTGTTGCATCGATTCGCTTTGATGAACTCTTGGACGCCATTCGACTCGCCGATGACTTGGCCAACAAATCCAGTACTGTCCGCACGTATTCGTCTTTTCGGTTAAGTTTCTTTAGACAGCGTGCATGCATCTTAAGCATGGTAGCTTCGACAGTGTTCCACCTGCTTGTTGCGAAATACGAAGCCATACGTCCAAAATATGTTGCTGCCGCTGCGAAATCACCCAGCTCGCTATATCATGTAAGAACGAGGTATTGATAGCTTCAAGTGGCAACAAACTTACAATTTGAGGGCAGCTAAATCGCCGAGCACCGTCTCTGCTGATTTGATCTGGCCTGCAGCCATGTAGTGCTTCACAATCAGATCACTGAGCGTCTAAACCAAGGTCAGTAATAGTGATGAATATTGCACAAAATCACATACCTCGTAAAACTGTCGAAACTGCCCGAGAGATGAAATTGCTGTAAGTAGTGCCACAGCAGATATACCAATACGTGCTTTTTCGAGCCCAGAATCTGGTTTGGTGTTGGAAGCCTCCCTCTCTGCCGCACGTTCCGCCTCCTCTTCTTCATCCAGGCTGACGTCCGTCAGCTCTTCCTTCGCAGTCAGAGAGGTAACAATAGCATTCCATCCGATATTCCAACCCAGAGCCTTTCCTGCATGCTCGAGCAACCGTCGTTGAATTGCAAGAAGTTGTGCTCTTGTGCCAGCCAGTTCCTGCAGGCCGTTCCTTGCAGAAATAGTCGTGGCTGATTGCCCTGTAGCGGGCCGATCGTGATACTGTCCATTCTCAAACACCACCTGAGCATTTGCCGCAGTTTGGGAATATGGCATATCGGGGGTAGATCGCCCCTGATTCAGTGAAGAAGAACGAGAAGGAAGCTTGGGATCGGAGTTCTTGCTCTTTGACTCCTTGCTGCGACCGCTAAAGGAACGGCCCTTGCTTGTAGAGCCAGCGGATGCATCTCTAGTGGGCCTGTCGGATGGAAGAGAAGCAGTAGATGTCTCGCGTATTACCTGACCCAATGCAGCGAACGTCCATGAGCGAACAATGTTTTCAACTAGATGATTCTCAAATGTAATCTCATGCGCCTTTGCTCTGGCGGTGGGCATTAGTACCAACAAAGCAGTAGATGTTTCAGAACATACCCATTGATCAAATCATCTCGCAACAGTCTTCCAGCGAATGTTATGAAATTCAGCGCACGCGTGCAAAGGTCCGCAAGTGAGAAGAGATCTTCTGCATCCTGGGCTTGACCACCTGATTTCATACCAATGGCGCTATCATCGGTTGACTGTTGAATAACGCCAGCTTTGGACCGGATCTGCAGCTTAGTTGCAAGATCTGAACGCGCTGATATTGAGTTGCCCAGCCTAAGAAGCAAGGACATTTGACGGGCGAAGATATACACTCTAAAATCAAAGACGGAGATATTATTCGCAAGGATGAGACCACGATAGTCCTTTCTCAGGGCATTGATCGGGCTGTCGTCGTGAATAGCCAGTTGAGAACTGTTCGAATCAGCATCATTTTTCCCTTCTTGCTTTGCAAGTTCTGCTGCTTTCTGGTAAATGTCGTCAGAATAGCCAAGGAGAACGCTTCCTTGCGCCTGCTCGGTCGCCTGGTCACGGATTACACTGTCCAGGCCAATCGAGAGCTCATCGTACACCAGCAAAGCATCTTCCACCAGCCCTACACTCTCAAAGCCTCTCGCAAGGCCCTCCTTGAGGATGAAGAAAGTGTTAAAGTTCCAACCAGGAAAGGAGCGCTGAGCGTCATTCTTCCGAATGTCTTCCTCATATTGGCTCACACGCAGATCGAATGAAAGAAGAATGAGC